TGGAGCGGTGAGGTACGAGGATGTGTGTACATACACGCATAAGGAAAGAGCGAGCATGAGTGTCTCACACACACACACACACACACACACACACAGTCTTTCCCCATACAACACTCAAACAGTGGCAAAGACACCTGAGCGCCAGCAGTTTATTTGTTTTTTTATATGTTGTGATTTTGAACAGATGTAAACAATGGCAGGAGGCTTAAAAGTATAGACTTGATACCAGCTAAATTTAATTATTGTACTAAATCGCAGAAACTTAGTACTTCAGTCTGCTATTCCTCGCTCTGTGAAGTAACGTGAGGGAGGAATCTAGTTGACGTTAGCTAGTTAATTAGCCATGTTATCTGCCTCAGTAGTACAAATAGTATTTATTTCAACACTTAAACAAACGGCGGGTGGGTCTCTGTCTTGATCGGGGGGGAAAGAGGGAGAAATGAAGATGACAGATATATAGATTACGTACGACTTGGTAAGTATTTATTTAGCGATCGGCGCTAAAACGTCATCTGTACTGATCATCATTGTGTACGGAACATGGTTAGTCTATGTTACCCGAAAAATTCCCATATGGCAGACTTCATCTTTTTCGACGGGGGATAAAGTTCCAGGGATTCACCTCCTTCGGCCATCCCACACACAGGTGACTCTCACTGATTGCTCGCAGCCTCGCACCAACCGGAGGGGGAGGGGTCGTGTGATTCGTTACGCTCTTCGCTGCACACAACTGAGGGAGTCATGCACTTTCTGTCTTTGATGACACGTAAAAAAACTGTGCATACCGCAGGAACGGTATAACGGAAAATTTTAGTGGTTTTGAAACCGTGACTTTTCCAAACCGCGGTATACCTTGAACCCGGTTATCGTCCCATGCCTAGCTGTGCAGGGATGGGTTGGTGTCTGTAATCAGAAAGGCACGGAAAACAAATAACGTGCGTTCTAATAAAATAACGTGAGCCACTAAAGGGACATGTTAGCTGCTTGCTAGCGGTAGCCCGTTACATTACAGTACATAAGATTTCAAATCTCGAAAGTGAAAGTAAAACGCGATCGTGCATTCGAATGCAGTTTCAATGCTCCCTGATGTCCGCATTTTATATACAGTATAATTACCCAACGATATAACTGCGAGAAAAAATATTGAAATATATATTTTCCGTGTTTCCTTCGTGCTGTGTGAGCAACTGAAATGAGCTGCACTGTGAAACAGCCAATCAGAGCAGAGCTCAACATTATTATTCATGACCCTTCCAAATAAGGTAATAACAGACCGTTTCATTCTAGAGACAAATCCTAGGGTTGTAAATGGACATGTAAAACCGTTTCTGGAGATTTTTTGCCCTTACCTTAGCCACATACCTTCTATGTAGATATCAGAGAACAATTTAAAATATTGTATCAATGCATTCTATGGCACCTTTAAAGTTGCACTAGATATCTGCTGGGGATTGTTCATCATCTGATGGACTCATTAGTCAATGATCATGCTATTATTTCTCTCTTTTTCAAATCAGAACATGGCAGATTCGCTCCTCGATGGCGCAACCACCCTGGACACATTCATCGATGAGTATCAGAGTAAGAGGAAGCTGGCGCACATGCGGAGAGTCAAGATAGAGAAACTCCAGGAAATGGTGCTGAAGGGACACCACATGGCCCCAGCTGCACCTCAGCCCTCTCGCTCACAGGACCTTCCCTCCAGGCCAGCCGCTCTCCGTAGAGAGGTCAATGGTTCCCCCATGCCGATGCCCCGGCGGGCTCCTCCTCTTCCCCCTGTCACCCAAACTCCTCCTGCTCAGCCCACCGCAGCCTTCTCCTACCCTCCTACCTCTCCGTTCGCTGCGGCCTCTCCATTCACACCCACTTCTCCATACCCCCCTATTCCCCCTAGAGTAGGAAACACGCCACCCATTCTTAACCAGGGATACCCCAACATGTACATGCAGCAATACGCCCCACCTGTGCCCCAGAGACCCCCTCCACGCATGGCACCCCAGCCAGGCTTCATCATGCAGTGAGCGAGGGACATTACAGTCTATGGAGAAAAGAAAAAGAAATGCACACTGGACATTCATTCAAGACTTTTGTAGGTCCTTCAAGCTGCATGTTATAAAATATTGTGCGCCAAGATGGAGTCTTGTCAAGTGTAAAATTAACAAGACTTTTCTGCAATCAAGGGGGCATCTGCAACAGGATCTTCAGTTTGCACTTTAGACTACTTTTGTATTTGATCAGTCATGGCTGGTTATGGAGTCATGCTGTTCCCGTTCTGCCCTTCTCAGTAGCGTTAGATCAAGTAAAAAAGTTCACATGAGCCTCAGGGGCCTCCATACATAAGGAAGATATCAAAGTTCAAGAAGAGGCGTTCTGTTAGGCCATCTAGACAGATATGAAGAGCTACGATTTGATGTTTTAATTTAAGTTGTCACGTTCATGCTAATATGTCAGTTCAACCACTTTAATATCTTCTGACATATCATACCTGAAAAAGCTGCTTTAACAAAACCGTAAAGCCTATGCAAACAGACTGAGACCGAACTGTGCTGAGTTTTTTAGGGGGGAAGAAACAAATCCATTTTTGCTCTTCAGGTTTTCTCAGACCTGCAGCCAAAGATGCTATTTGTTTTTCCAGTGGATCCAGTTTTGTGCTGGTGGCAGAAAAACAGGGAGATTTAATACAAAACTGAGTTAAATGTGGGTGAAGTCATTTGGTACTGATGTAGTGGATGAGATTGGGAGATCAGAGCTACCGCTACAATGGAGAGAGCCTTATGTCTCAGATACGAGCAAATTCGCGCTGGAAGGAGCTTAATGGCTAGAATTTGAAAGGCGTGTGAGTGAACGGTAGTACGTGTGGGAAAAAATGTGCAAATGAGTTTTTTAGGCTTAAGTGCGAACATTTGTGAAGCATACGTGCTTGTACTGTCATTACCATACATACTTAAACTGATGCTGATGCATAATTTACCATTTTAACGTTTGTAACTAACACCATAATCCTCCTTGTGTTCATTTTTGCCATCTGGTGTGAAGATGTTCATCGGAAATGTGCTTCCTTTCCATAAGCCCCACATTTTAATTGATATTTAATATATTCCAATTAATATAGCCATACCATTTAACCCAGAAATTTAGTGGTAAAATTGGACTTACCTACACCATCGGGTCCGTTACATATCATATCTTGTTTTCTGTCCTTAATATGTAGTATAACCTTCATTCATGCCTTTTGTTTTCACCCTGGATCTGTTTTCAATATGTATGTTCTGGTCTCTTCATGTGTTTGCCGTCGAAATAGCCACTTTGTGCCTATGCTGAGCATTAAGATGAAGACTTGTTCACTGTGGTGAGGTGTGCGTGTGTGCTTCGTATTCCTCCTTGCCTTCCCGTTCTAAAACCGATTTCTTTAACAATTAGAAATTTCTTTTTCAACATATATGCTGTTTACACAGGTACATCTTTACAAGTGCTCTTTACCTAAATATCAGTTGTTTATGTTTTACCAGTTAAGAGCCATAATTACGTTGCCTCAGATTCAGGAAGTTGACATGATAGAAATGTTGTTTGGATGAAGTCCTCTCTTTAATCACTGGTGCTACTAAATTCATTTAATGAGCTGAACCAAGATGATGTTAGTATGCAGGCTCTGTTTGAATTAAATCACTCCGTGTTTGTCAGACTTGGGTTGGGTATCTGCTTTATGTAGATGCTGATGAACACCAGATCAAGAGGTGGAATTATCTGGGTTCCTCATGAATTAGGCTGCATTATGTCTAGACATTGGCTAAATACCTGTGAAAACCATTATGTACTATGTCAAGATTGCCAACCATCTGAAAAAAACAGCTTCCACCCTTGAAAACTGTTTGTTTGTTTGTTTGTTTGTGTGAATAAACATGGTCTTTCTTTGTCTTAAAAATAATAATGAGCGCTAGGTTTGTAAAAGGTAACTCGGCTGAATGCTTTTGCTGGCAATAAAATAGTGTTTTGTACTTTCCTAATGTAAAATATGCAGACTAAGTGCTAGTTAATGTCTGTTAAAAGTGGTAGACATGGTAAATGGAACTGACATCTCTATTTTAAAGATAATAAATGATATCCCATCACTCTTCTGTGAGTTCAACCTTTCCATGTCTTTTATTCAGGAATGAGGGTTATGTTCGTTTTAATTATTGAAGATAAAATACTGCTCTTTGTATAAATCTAATAGGCCCTAACAAAGAATTTGACTCCCCCTGGTGGATGCAAGTGTGAGTACACAAAGTAATGTCATACTCTCAACATTTTGAATTTCTGCTGTAATTATGACAAAGCTGCTTGTTTGCTGAGGCCCCTAGTTGAGCAATGTTTTGCACCTCATTTGGCTGTTGAAGCTTTCCATTTTATGAATATTGTAATGCTCTTAGGATAGAGGAAAAATAGCAGTGATGTGATTATATTCATGCTAATTAATTGATTATACAACTTTTAATTAGACAAGTGTTTATACAGTAAATGTAGTGTTTTTTGCACTATATTTAGTAACCACTATGCATATACAATAGGTAAACTATTGGTAGCCAGTATATATGGGTAAAATTGAATGCCGAAAAAGATGAAAAGCATTCCAGGTTGCTGATTTTATAATTCACAGCTTTAACACTGAAAATAAATCCTCAAAAATATTATGAGGAAGATATTTAGTTGTAGAGAAAAAAAATATTAGAATTAATGCAATTGTTGATTTTGACCAGTTTAAGATTTACTTTTAATAAAATTTATTGTAAAAAAAAAAAAAATTTCTTCAGTGCACATTATCTTTGACAGCCCAGAAAATACATTTTATAACAAATAAATAAAAATGTATAATAATAAATTAAATAATTTCAGCACCCCTTGCTTCCCCATGGGTGTCCCCCAACCCCAGTTCGAAAAACTGATCACTACAGAAACCACTTTAAATTACCTTTTGACCCCAAGAAAAATTCTAACTCATGTTTGTTTTGATGTGTTACCCATTGGTGGCCTGAAGTGTGCTGACACAAAGTAAAAATGAACAGTGATGCTATGATAGTTTCCAGTAAACACATCTTTGCAATGCACTGTAAGTCGCTTTGGATAAAAGCGTCTGCTAAATGCATAAATTATTTCTTTAATTATTTTTTTAAATATGCCTCCTAAAACTTTATCCTTTGTGGCAACAGGCCTACAGTGTGGTTTTAAAAGATATACATCACACTAACTTTAATGGACTGCTTTCGCCTTGTAGTTTTTCTGCTTTCTTTTTCAGAGCAGCCCATCCAAACTGAGGGACCTCCAGCACGACCCATTTAACCATCTGCATCGCACGTGTCAAATTTTACGTGCGACGTCACGCCTACGCCAGCGCGTCGAGAGCCACAGCTCCGCCATATTGCAGGAAATCCGTCTGAGGTTTAGAGATTAGTGTTTAATCTGAGGAGATGGGAGCGAGAGTGTGATTGGAAATTACTGCTAGCCATATGGTTAGCTCGAGTGGGCGGGTAGATCGCGCAGTCGCTGTTCTCACACGACAGGACATATGTTTATTAAGACAAATCGGCGCGGTTCGGCACGTTATCATTATGCCGAACTCTTTTATGAGAGTCTAGCTAAACTGGCGAGTTGACGTTCTGACTGAAAAGTGGAAAATCGGATTAACGTTCAAGATTGCGCACCAAACCCTAATCATTTTGTGTCGCTGGCTCCCGTTGCTACGAGCCCAAGGTATCTGATAGAGAAAAGCTGATAGGTCAATGTCGGCAGGAAAACACCGAGACCGGACTCGATTCTACTAACGTTAACGTTAGTTTATCAGCGACGATCGGTGGTTGTGTTTCTGTCAGCGAGGGCAAGCGTTCGAGTCGTGTGTCTGCTGGCGATGTTATTATGCTGCCCTGTGACCCGTGTACCAAACTGTTGTTCAGTGTTGACTAAATTAGCTGTTTTAGTGCGTTAAACCTGCCCGCTGGTCTGAATTTCAACAGTTCTCGGACTCTTTTGAGTCACTGGCCGCTTTGCGATCTCTCCTTCCTCGGACTCGCAGCAGCAAACACGGAGGATATCTTTGCTCACTTGCTGGCTAATTGAACTGTGAGAAGATGTCGACTAAAGAGCCGAAAGAAAACCTGTCGACCACCGAACGAATCATTAAAAGTAAGTTCATTTCAGTTTGAGTATGAAGTGTCTAGACAGGTAATTACAGTTGATTCTAATGGATTCCCACTGGTGAATCATTTCTTGACAGCCTGACGGATGTTCCAGGTTTCGTGGATTGATTGATTGCCTGCACTGTAATTCGTGATAGCGACTTGTGGATCGCCAATCCCACTTTATTTTTAACTGTGCTACTAAATTGAATTAAAGTTGTTTTATAATCTTGGCACGAGTCCTTTTGAATTGGCAATACATTATCCTGTTGCATCCATTGCAACTAAAAGTAGGACATACCCATTTATATTATAAATATTAATATAGACTTTTGCAATACAGGTGATTGGTTTTCGACTATTAATCAGTCAAATTGCTCATTAAATCATTTAGTATTTCCAGCAGCTTAAACTGTGTCTGGGTAAAGCTGTGGTTGTTTTGGAGATCAGCCATGCCTGTAACTGTGAAGGTGGGAGTCACCCTTGATTCTGGCTCATACATGTAAAATATGATTTTTTATGTCTACACACCTGGCGTATGAGGTCAGACTCAGCATCATTAAATTTTTATCAGTTTTTCTTTTTTTGTCTCTGGTATAAAGCAAACCTGATTTCAAAATCCAGCAATGTGCTTCTGTCAGCCAGTCTTTGCAGGGGCTTATCATTATTTGTGGTATAAATAATATGGAGTAAATTGAAACACACATGCTTCACATTACCTGTTTGGATCAGTTTTGAGAACTTTCCTAGAGAAAACCATGAGAATTAGCATGCAGTAGTGGTTTTAGTTATGCTATGTCTTAGCATCAGCTAATGCTTTACAGGCAGTAGACCTTAAGTCAGGGTTATTTAATATTAATATTAATTAAATATTAAATATTTTATTTCATAAATGTAATATACTTCGTATTTTCATTATAATATAATCATTATACATAGAGTCTGTGCAATACTGTGTAATTTTCACAACACATTTTTCCAGAAGTTTGCCATCAGGATTTTTTTTTTTTTTTTGGGAAAGACATATTTTCAGTTTTACGACAGCTGAATGATCAACAGTGAAGTTACTTTACAGCCTGTTGAACAGACTACACCTGTCACAATTTGGTTTTCGTTTTTGTGAAAAATTAAATCCTTCTAACTTCGGTTGTGACATGTTAGACTGAAACTCTATTGAACACTTTTTAATTCGAAACAGATTTCAGACAGTGTTTTCAGTTAGATTCATATGTGATTACATACATTTCTGGCTTTCTGGAAAATATCGTAATAGAAAACAAACACGATTTTGCTTTTTAAGAATAATGATCTAAATAAGACTCACTGTGTTCATGCTTCATTATGACCAAGTCAAGTCACCTTTTTTTTTATATAGCACTTTTAACAGTACAGATTGTGTCAAAGCAACTTTACAGTATTAAATAGGAAACAAGTGTGTCAATAATGCACAATGACAATAGTAAACACTCAATCTTCAGTTAAAGGCAGTTCATCATTGAATTCAGTGATGTGATCATCCAGCTCAGTTCAGTTCAGTTTCAGGTAACCAGTTTACCCAATAAGGTCAAACCAGGTAAACCTAGCCAAATTACATTTCATCAGAAATGTAAAATCAGAACTTTCTGTGGCCATTTGCTGACATTTGAGTAATTGATCACCAGATGTTACACCAGAATAGTGTCACAGAAGCTGAATTTCTATTCTCCATGTTATTGCTTTGAGTTTGAAAAGATTATTTTGTTGGGTTGAGAAGCAAGAAAAAATGTAGACGCTAATAGCACATTAGTAGGTCAGCACAGGAACAATTTGCCTTTCAAATATCCAGGTTTTGAGTGTCTTGCTTAGTGTCTAGTTGTATGTAGGCTGGAAAAGCCCAGAATCTGCGTGGCACGAAATGTCATCCTGAAGGCAGAGCCTGTCCTTGGTAACACTGAAATGCAAAGCGTTTGGTTCAGAACTGTGCCGTATGCAAATGTTTAAACTTAGGTTGAAGATCTGTGCGTCTAACCCTTCTCGCCACACGCGTCTTTGTCTGTGTTTTAGACTCTTAACAGCTGTGAAAAAGTGTGTTTGTGTTTAAAGAAGGTTTAAAGCGTCCCACAGAATTTTGTAGCTTGAATGTGTTGAGGTTTCTCCACATCGGCCTTAACCCTCCATCCTCTCTTTTGAACTTTAGGGTCAGGATCTTGTTTGCAGTAGGAGTCCCTAAATAAACAGACTCTGAACCTGGAATCCCTGGCTAATAAAGGCTTTGCCTAATCTGTTCTTAGTGCTCGTACCCAGCTTACTGTCACTATTCCCAGCATGTGTTGTGGACCCAGGGCTGCTTACTGTTTATTTATACTCCTCAGCCGTCGTAGGGCTGCACAATTAATCAAATTTCTAATCGCGATTACAATTATGGATGCCACAATTACGTAATCGTTCAAAGCAGCAATTAATGGTTCAAAGTCCACTTATGTTATTCTGCACGCTTAAGATATGTTTTTTTTCTTTCTACATGTTATCTTAAGGGTTTTTCCATTGTTTTAGTTTTAGTATAACATTATAATACCATTCATATTTTTACTTTTTTTATAATTTAAAGAAGAAACCAATCCGATGTATATTTGACATTTGAAGGCTTAATACTATAGAAAAGCACTAAAGGTTTTTCTGTTAGAGTGTTTTCAGCTTGTTTATTTTCATATAAAAATACGGCATGCAGTTGCATCAAACAATGGTATAAACATCATTCAATGTAAATTGTGATAATCGTAATTAATAATCGCAATTACAATTTCAAGGGAATAATCGACAATTATGATTTTTGTCATAATCGTGCAGCCCTAAGTCAGAGTATAGATAATGTTTGTGTATGCCCTTATGACAATGAGCTCATATTGTACAAATCCTTAACTCAGGTGAGGTGGAGTCGGCTGCTCTTGCCCCTCCACATATTTTATTTTAGTGTGGATAAGTGTGGCCAAATGAACTCTTCTGCGAGAGCTGAAAATGGTTCTTGACTGTAATTCTGCTGCGTTCTGCTAAGATCAACCCTGTTCAGTCATGCGTCATGATATCACATCTTTTTTTAACTGTCAGTGCTCACTCCTGAGGATATCATAATGATTGAAATGTTTGGGTTATGTCTTCATGCCAAAAGCAAGAGTGTTAGGTTGTCTTTTACCATAGTCTTCAGTCATCATTTCTTCTAGAGGTCGACCGATAGTGGATTTTGCCGATACCGATAGCTAGGTTGGACCACATTGGCCGATACCGATTAATTAACCGATAGTTTTTAAAATGGATACTGAACAAAAACTAAAATAATGCTTTATTAAAAAAACAGTACTGAACCATACTAGTAGTAGTAGTAGTAGTAATAATAATAATAAAAATGTTGAAATTAACACACTCTAACAAGGAACAATACTTTCATTACACAGCTTTCATTAATCTTAATGTTACAAATGGACTCTTATTTTAAAGTGTTACCATTTCATTTCAACAGTCATGCTTAAAGATGCACATCTTTAAATATATAGACAAAGGCCATGGCATTAAAATTATATACATATGGATATTGTATGTATACTCTCACACTTTAACTTCTTCTATTCTTGAACAGCAGACCCTTCTCAGCCGTTCCTGCAACGGACGCAACCCGGAAAACTATCGGCATGGATTTTTGCCGATAACGATAGTTCCAGCAAAAAACTATCGGTGCCGATTAATCGGCAAAACAGATACATCGGTCGGCCTCTAATTTCTTCTCAAATAACATTTGAGATCTCAATTTACAATTATAACTTTCGTATGATTTTGGCTCAGTTATTGCAGAAACAAACTTTCACTTCTATGCTATTATATTTTCATACAGGGTTTTTTAAACTTTGGGGATTGAATTTAACAAGGTATAAAATGAAATGTTTAACTATTTTTGAGTTATATACTAAATTTAATATTATTATTATTATTATATGTTAAATGTGGTCATCTAACTCATGAGATGAATCATTTTGTTTTATTGTATTTACAGGTAGGCCTGTCACGATAACAACTTTTTGTTGTGCGATATAGTGCCCCAGAAATAAATGCGATAAGCGATATTATTGTCATTTTAAAGACCATTTTATGCCACTGAATATATAATCATAATGTAACAGCATAATAATGCAAGAAGGCCTACACGCTTCCAAATGACAACAAACTTTTAATTTTTAAGAATATTTAGATCATGGAAATTAAGTATCAAAATATTAGATACCTTAAAAAACCTGAATAAACAGTAA